AAAGCTTGGTGAGGGCGTGACTCTGGAGACCAGGCTGGCCTCAAGCTGAGAGGTGCCTGCCTCTGTGTCCCAGTGCTGGGACTAGAGGTGTGCACCCGCACCATACCGCCTGGTTAAACAATATTCTTTAAGTCTTAAAAAAGACACAGGGGCTGGAGAGATGGCTCAGCAGTTAAGAGCCTTGCTCTTGCAGAGGACCTGGGTTCAAGTCCCAGCTCCCACATGGTGGCTCACAACCACCTGTAACTCCAGTTTCAGGGGATTTGGCTCCTTCCTCTAGCCTCTGAGGGCAATTACAAATACACAGGCAAAATGTTCTTACACATATAAATAAGACTGAGTTAATTTCACACTTTTACAATTTATTCGTTTGTGTGTGTGTAAACGAACTCGGGCCACCCACGCATGTGACATACGAGGACAACGTGCCTGAGGTGACTCTTCCCTTCCACTGTTTCCCGGGGATCAGGCTCAGCTGCCAGGCTTGGCCGCACCTCTACCCACTAAGCCATGTTGCCAGTGTGGAAACAGCTGTGTGAGAGTTAGGTAAACAATACCTGGAAAGCAGCTCCTGTAGTTTCCGACACTGAACGCTGCGCACCACCAGCAGCAGCCCCACGCAGGATTGTGCAGCCCTGGCTCTAGCCCACCCACGTGGATCTTCAGGTGGACGCAGGCCCCAGCTCCCCAGCCCCCTGGAGGCCACAGATAAAGTGCACCCTGATGGGAACGGCAGTGGCCACCATGGAAGGGGCCTTGATAACCCTGACTCCAGTATGGAGGGACACAACCGAGGCCTTACAGACGTCATGCCTCCTCCCTGCAACAGCAAACCATTAGGGGCTCCCAAGCTCTTTGTCCCCCAGGCCCCCGAAAGTGTCTGGTGGCCCCAGGCCTCCTCTCAGTGTAGAGCCCAGTCTCCAGGCTGGTGCCAAGTAGCAGCTGACTGTCGCCATGGCAATAGATTAGGCCAAGCTCTGGCAGAGAGAGAGAGGTCTCAGCAGCAGGGGCTTGGCCAGCTTGGAATGCATCTAGACCCCCTTCCTACAAGACAAGGACCTACTGGAAAGGGCCTCCTGGGAGGTCGGCAGGGAAAGAGAGGCGCAGGCCCCTGACGGGGTCAAACTAGCCCTGTATGAGGAAGACATGTTTCCACATGGGACTTCTCTCTGAAAGTTCTTTACTGTTTAGCAGAGCACAGATGTGTAATGGTAAATCCTGGGTTATAACTAAGTCTCTCTGCGAATCCATGGCCCTTTCTCCTTCCCTACTCAGGTCCTTCTGACTCGGGCCCAACATTACCATCTTTGTCCTTGTGCACCCACAGCCCTGTGTCCTCAGCCCCCATGTGGCCCTTCCTCCACCTCATCAGCGTTCATATTCTGCCCAGGCTGCACAGGCAGCTTAAAGAGTGGAACGTGGAGCGGGAGGTGCCCACCGACTCTTCCCATCGCATGGCCAGGCTTAGACACACGGGGAGACAGGGAACTCTCACCCGGGACTGCAGTTCTGAAGCGGTTTTACTAGGAGTTATTTAGAAATGAGTGTCTATGCTGTGTCTCTGCCTCCTTCCCATGCACTAAACTTTCTAGAGTGGGCGACTGTACAGGGGTCAAATCAGCAGGCGGCGGCGTGCACCCCTGCAGCCCAGTGTTCTGAAGGGAGAAATGGGAGAGTCTGAAGTTCAAGGTCAGCCATGGCGACATCGTAAGCTGGACCTAGAATGGGCTACGTGAGACCTCATTTTAACAAGAGATGGGGTGGGGAAAAGGAGAGGGAGGAAGAGAGAGAAAGGCTGCGTAACAGGGTAACAGTTGCTCTGCCCACTGCAGTACGGAGGCTAACACCCCACAAGACCACAAAGTCCTTTCTGTGAACTCGTGAATATATTTTCTTATGTTGCCAAAGGGAGTTTTTGCAAATGTGATTTAGGATTTAGGGGTTAAAGATGGAGAAATCAGCCCCCCTCCGCCACAGGGCCCAATATGGTCACAAGCGGACCTTATCAGAAAGAAGGCAGAGGGTCAGATTCTGAGAGGGAGGCAGAACCGGGGCAGCAAGGTTGGAGCGACGCAGTGCCATGGACCAAGGGATGTAGGCCGGAAGCTGCAGCAGGAAAGGACAAAGCCCCAGAACACAGGCAGGAACACGGCACTAGGGACAGACACCTTGACACTGGCCCAGGAGAGCCCGTTTTGGACCGTGGGCCTCCAGAAGCGTGAACGAGTAAATTGGGGTGGGAAGCAGGACTGACACACTATTAAGCCCGGCCACTGGCTGCTGTATCAGGAGCGAGGACCTACAATCTGTCCTTACAGTTATCCGGGGGTTAAACAAGAGCACCCGCAGCTTACAGCACGGGCTCTCAACCCTGGCTGCCACCGCAGTCACCGCGCTGGAGGAGACGCGGCAACTCGTATGTCCAGCCTGCCCTGCAAACCACGCCGTGGAGAACCTCTGACACCGGTAGCTCTCAGGGAGTTCCAGGGTCCCACGGTGCAGCCGGCATGAGAACTTTACAGCTAAAGTGCAACCAGCCGGGAATGAACAACAGAAAACCACAAACATTAAGATCAAGATGGAGGCTCGAGCATTAACAGCGAGCATGATCTCGGGGGGTGGCTCTCCTCTGCATTTCACAGCTTTATCGCTCGCGCTCCGTCCTTGCCCTCTTTCCTACCCTGGAGTCCTCAGAGCTCCAGGGTTAGTGCTGCAGGCATGAGCAGCATCAAATTCTGAGGCTGGATAGAACTTCAGAAGTGCAGTCAGACATTCACCTCTTGAGCCGGAAGAACAGAAGGGACATTTGGCCAAGTGTACAGGGGCTGTGGGAACATCTGGATGCAATGTGGCTTCCATGGCCTCAATCTCTGGTATGAAATCCCCGTCCCAAGCCTCTCGCCAGTGGTGTGCTTCCATGAGGGCGGACATAAAGTACTTCTCTTCTTAGAATGGGCTTTCACATAATGGACAGGATGAAGCCGGCTAGGAACTTTTAAAAGCTGGGTCCCATTTTCAAAATAGCTGAGCCTAGCTCTTAGGAAAATTTATGTTCCTGAAACGCCGCCAGTCACGATATAAAATAACTTGCGTGCACCAGTGCTTTATCCTTCTCTTCGGATGAAAATGGTCATCCCCTGGACTCTGGGACAAAGGGCTGGTTTTCTGCTTTCTGACGAGAGCAGAAATGTAGTAGATGAGCCTGGAACCTCATGGGTCAAAGTAGAGTGCTGGCAAGCAGGCCGGGTAGGGGAAAGGCTGGAGGGCCTGGGTTCAAACAGCCAGTCCACATGAAAGCGGGGTGTGGCTCAGCCGGCCTGTAACCCCAACACCCGCGCCCGTGCCTAGAGAACTCGCTGACCTGCCAGGGCCGACGAGGAGAGTTGCAGACTCCATGAGAGACCCTGCATCAGGGGAACAAGGCAGAGAAGGACGGAGGGAACACTAGCACCTTCCTTCGCTTCCACATGGGTGCTCACACGGACACACACAACACACAACCAGCAGCCTCACATTGTGAGACACGGGCTAGTGAATGAGCTACCGACAGCCAAAGCTGGGAACCTGAGCGTCGACACAAATAAAGCCGGGGTCTGAAGACACGGGCAATGGCTGAGTGTGGTCACAGAGGACCCAGTAACCACACCGGGCGCCAGTCAACGCCAGCGCTCCCGCTCCGGGGATCTGATGCCTCTGTCCTTGGGCACGTGTCCTCACAGGCACATGCCTACACACGGCCATGCCTCCAGACATGCACAGGTGCACACGAACAATTCAAAATAAAAACAACTGCATTAAACCACTACCCACAGTATAAAATAGACGTCTGTGTCTCTATATGGACACAGTAATAGGCTGTGGAATAAACACAGCTGCCAACGGGGCAGAGCAGAGCTGCTCATGCGGGCGCTGTGCACAGTCTTTCTTCCAAAGAGCCCGGAGGAGGAAGAGGCACCGGGGAACCCGCTCCTCAGCTCTCCTTCACAGAGGCCGCAACGGGGGTGCTCTTCCTCAAGCCCCACCCCGGGAACAGCAGGAGCGAGACAGCAGGCGGTTCTCACAACACTACAACACCTCAACAACCCTCCCCCGTCAGAAACAAGTCCAAGACGCTGTCACAGCCAAGGGGAAGAAAACGCATGACTAAACCTAACGCAGTACCCTGGCTGGGTCCCGGAACACAGGGGCAGGAGGGACCAAGGGAGTCTGGTCGAAGTCCAGAGCACGAGGGTAGAGCTGCTG